GTTGGCGTATGGAGGAAAGATGTGAATAAAAACGAAGAAGGGAGTCCAGTTAGGGGGCTATTTTAGTAGTTCAGGCAAGAGATGAAGAGGGGCTGGACTAAAGCAGTGGGTATGGGGATGTTTTCCTTCAGTCGTGCATTAATTTAGTAACTACAAATGGAATAAAAACATGATTCTCATGTCAGTGTAGTTGGGAAGATTGGTATATAAACATGCCCCTGAAATGTGTAATAACTGCAATTATAACCATAATGCAAGATATAATTGTAGAAGGCAATAAGGTACATATAAATAGAGCCAGTTAACGGAGCAGAATCTGGAGACAGGTTGCCTGTATTTGAATTCTACCTCTGCCATTTATAGCTGTGTGTCCGTGGGCACATTGCTTGACCTCTCTGTACCTTAGTTTCCTCATTTAGAAAATGGGGATAGTAATAGCAAAACCATAAGGTTGTTAAGACTAAATGAGTTATTAGAATGCATGGCATATGAAGAGCTCAATGAATGTTAGCCATTTCACAATGAAGAGAATCCAACTTGGATGGCTCAGGAATGGGTTCAGTGAAAGTTAGACACTTGACCCTGAGTATTCAGTAGGTGGATGAGGGCAGGATAAAGGTGAGGGAAATCAGTATATTTAGAAGCACAGGAGTATGAAATAACAAGGAGACTTCTAGGGATTGTAAGTAGGAGTGGTTGGAGCATAGAGTACATGTGGGAGAGGGGAACGAGATGGAATTTCAGAAATAAGCAGTTACTGGATAATAGTGGACTTTGAATGCTGTGCTCAGGAGTAAGAATCCACTGAAGAGTTTTAAAGAGGAGTTCATCTGCATTTTAGAGTGATTACTCCTGTGGGGTTAATGTAGCAAATGGATTTGGAGAGCCCAGATTCTCTATTAGCAAGATGGCTAACTGAGATAGGAAGACTCCTCTGCTACAAATATCCAGAAAAGCTGGATGATATTGAACTAACAATTTTTTAAAATGCATTCCTGAGCTTGCAGGGAAGACAGGAAAATCTCCAGGTTCTAGAAATACAAATGAAACTAAAAACCAAAACTTTAGTAAGCCTTGAACTCATGCTGTGTTGCCCTGGAGCCGGGTGAAGGAGTGGGGTGAGGGGTTATTTCTGGTTTTCTTTTCCTAGTGGACTGAGTTTTAACCATGTAGAAAAGGGAACCAAAACTAAAACTTCTGCACAAAACTGGGATTCTTGATGTGCATTCAAAGTGAAGGGGTGGGTAGAGAAAAATCTTCCCACTGACACAAGCCAGTAATAAGAAATCTTGTCTTGATTTGCCTGGGTTCTATGCAGAGAGGAAATGGGAAGAAAAGCTTCTCAGAAATTGAAGCACAAGACATATGCCTTGCTTATATTTGGGATCTGAGTTTCTATTATATGGTTTAAGTATCACCAGGCTGAGAAATTAATAAAAAGAAGCTGGCTCCAAACTAGTAATACCCCTGGGTCACCTGGAGAAAGGAAAAACAAGACTCCAAGGGGTACTCCCAACTTGGGCCAGAAGAGATTCTCTAAGAAAGAAGCCCAGCTGAAGATGAACTTATAATTAAATGTGACACACGAGGAAACCATTTTCTAACATAAATGAGAGTTAGCAGATATAGGAAGCAGGAGGATTATATCTCCGGAAACCAGGATGGTAGAGGAGCAGCTTGAACGATAACTTAAATTAGCACATTTTAAGTGACTAAAGACATTAAAGAACTAATTGACATCCCGGAAAATGAATACGACGTTACGAAATAGGTACATTTGAGAAAGAGCTAAACATAATGAAAAATATAGTCAGTGAGGTTAAAAAAAAGCTCAGTAAATAAGCAATAGCTTACACAGATGAAGAGAAAATTAGTAAGCTGGGAATTAGATATGTGGAAATCCTGAGAACACAAAACAGTAAACGATGAAGGAAAATCTGAAAGAGGTGAAGAAAAATGAAAGAACAAGAAGACCCAACATCTAATAGTAATTACAGAAAGGAGAAAAATAGAATGAGGAGACATGGAATTGAAAGAGATGATGACTTGAGAATATTTCAGAATTAATAGAAAGACATGATTCTTGATCCTTTAGGTTTTAGACTTAAGAGGCCCTAGAAATAATTAAATGAACAAAACAATATAACCCCACAACTAAACACATTGCAATGAAACTACAGAACACCAAAGGCACTTTAAAAAGCAAAAAGGAAAGACAAAGGAGCAATAGACCGAGAGTGGACATCTTGTAATCAACAAGAGAGGCCAGGAGAAAATGGAATAATGTCTTCTAAGTGTTGACAGAGATCTGAATTTTGTACTCCGCTAAGTTATTCAAGAGTGAGGGAAAAATATTTTCAGATAAACAAAAATACAGAGAATTTACCATGCTATTTCTGAAAGAACTATTATACCAAAGAATGTACTTCAGGAAGAAAGAAATGTAACAGGGGAGAAAGTAGGATACAAGAAGTCATGGTGAACAAAGAAAGAGGTACGTGAACTAAGCCAACATTGACAGTATAAAACGAAAATTATTATTTTGTGGGGGCCAAAACCAAAGTGGAACTAAAATATTGGACAAGGATAAAATGTAAGCTGGGAGGGAGAGTGGTCAGTTTTAAAGAGTTGGAAGGTTCTGTGTATAGTTCAGGAAGATAGAGATATTGATTAACTTTAGGCTCTCAGATGCATATTAAAAATTTAAGGGTAACCACTAAAACAAATACTATGCATAACTTGATCTGCTGCATTTATATAGAACCATGTCTTTCCCAAATTAGAGAATATATGTTCTTTTTAAATGAATATAGAACATGCACATAATTAGGCACAAAGAAAGTTACAACAAATACCAAAGATTGCTATATAACCATGTTATCTGACCCCAATACAGTAAAATTAGAAATTAATGACAAATATAACCAGTCCCCCTCTCAGTCCGTGTTTGGAAATTAAAAATGCAAAAACAAACTTCTAAATAATGTATGGTAAAAAACAAAATCCGGGCGCCTGGGTGGCTCAGTTGGCTAAGCGACTGCCTTCGGCTCAGGTCATGATCCTGGAGTCCCGGGATCAAGTCCCACATCGGGCTCCCTGCTCAGCAGGGAGTCTGCTTCTCCCTCTGACCCTCTTCCCTCTCATGCTCTCTATCTCTCATTCTCTGTCTCTCAAATAAATAAATAAAATCTTAAAAAAAACCCCAAAATCCTGAATTGGAATATGTTTAGAATTGAGTAACAGTGGAAACAACTATCTCAAAATCTGTGGGATACAGCTAAAGCAAAGCTAAGGAAATTTAAGTGCCTAGATTATATTTCACTGGATCTTAAAATGCCATCTTTTGTAAGATGCACTATCATTTTCCAAACAATGCTTTCCTATCACCTAGACCTTTTAACTTTGTGCTTCCTGAAAGAGCTGTTATAAATTTCTTTAGATACAGATTTAACATATCACTTGAACATATGTTTATAAAAGTGAAGTAATAAATCAGTAGGATATTCCTGTTCACAATTCTTCCAAATTTGGTTTTGACTGAATCATAGAGGTTTGTGTTTTTCTATGTAGTATTGCTTACTATGTCCTAGAGAACACTGGTGATACAGCATTTCTTAAAAGAGTGTCCCATAGCTCTCCCTGCCATTTTCTTTGACACTTCTGGCACACATCAAGTTTTGATGCTGATGCTTTCTTGAGCTTGCCAAATGGCTTCCACAAAAGGTTTTCAGATGCGACTCATAGTTCTTCCTCAGATGGTCTATAATAGGTTTGTTAGCTCATATCGAGAGGTTACAGTTGTCCAGTCATGCCACCAGGGATAACACCAAATCGCTACATTTTTTTTGCAAGCTTATTCTTTTAATTGTCTATGTTTATACATAAGCAATGACCGTGGCATTATCACTGCTGCCTGACAGTGATTATAAGACTTCAGTTGTAAGAAATATCCCAATTTCAGAGATGTTAATATGAAGAAATGTATGTTCTAGAATCTGTAAGGTATTTGAATTGAAAGACTGAAAATTATTTTTTAAAGATTTATTTTATTTGAGAGAGAGAGTGCCGTGAGGAGAGGCAGAGGGAGAGAAAGTCTCAGACTGTGTACGGAGCGCAGAGCCCAGTGCGGGGCTTGATCTCATGATGCTGAGATCACCACCAGCACCGAAACCAAGTCAGAAGCTCAACTGACTGCGCCACCCAGGCACCCCAAGACTGAAAATTATTGAGTTAAGTGGCCAACTGAAGAAGTTAGGAAAGTAACAGCAGATTAAATCCAAAGGAAGTAGAAGACAGGAAAGAGTAAAGATAACAGAAATTAGTGGAATAGAAAACAAACAGTGAAGAGGATTAATAAAACCAAAATATAATTCACAGAAGATACTAATATAAGATTTATATTACAGACAAATCTCTGGAAAGATTGGTCAAAGAAAAAGAAAAGGAGGCATAAATAATGTTAGGAATGAAACAGGGAATACAACTATAGATATGATAAATGTATAAAAACACCATAAATATAGAATATGGAATTTTATGCCATGAGTTTGATAAGTATAAAATAGTCAACTTCTTGGAAAATGCAGCCTGACACAGCTTACTCAAGAATAAAGAGAAAATATGAATAGAAATGTAACTAGAGGACTTGAACAAATAATAAAATCTATCCACTAAGTAATATGGGGATATAATAAGCAAAATCCAGAATGTGGGAAACTGCAGGATACATGGCCCATTTTCTTCCACAAATACTGTGAAGAAGAAAAGGGGGAGGGGTGGGGAGGAAGCGGAAGAAGAAGAGCAATAGAAGGGACACGTGTAGATTAAAAGATACAACAAATTTAAGTGTATGAATTTACTTGGATCCTGATTGAATACTGCTTGGATGTTTGTTGGTATTAAAGATTATGGAATGTTTAATGTGACAGTAGTTTTTTTTTTTTAAAGATTTTATTTATTTGAGAGAGAGAGAATGAGAGAGAGAGCATGAGAGGGAAGAGGGTCAGAGGGAGAAGCAGGCCCCCGGCTGAGCAGGGAGCCCGATGCGAGACTCGATGCCGGGACTCCAGGGTCATGACCTGAGCCGAAGGCAGTCGCTTAACCAACTGAGCCACCCAGGCGCCCTAATGTGACAGTAGTTTTCTGGTTACATATTTTCAGAGTCCTTTAGGCGAGATACTAAAATGTTTAAAGGTAAGATGATATGATATATCTGGGATTTGTTTCAAAATCATTCCTTCAAGGGGAGTGGGGAGGGGTAATGATTAGGGGATTAGATGAAATACGATTGGCAATGATTGATTGTTGAAACTGGGGGATGGATAGGTTGCGGTTTATACAGATCTCTCTAATAAATATTTGAGACTTTTCCGTAATAAAAAGCGGAAGAAAAATTCTACCCATTAAAGAAGCACCAGGGCACAGCGTTTTATAGGTTACCCAAATATTGCAGGATGGGTGATCCTTATGCGGACTATTCCAGGGAATAAAAGTGTTTCCAGATTCCCTTTGGAGGGCTTTTACAACCTGATATCAAAATCATACTAGGACAGGCTAAGAAAGGAAAAATACTAGCCAATCTCATGAATGTATATTTTAAAAATCCCAAATAAAATACACACTAATCTAGTAGTGCATTTAAAAAAAAAATCACAACCAAGTAGCATTTATTCCAGGAATAGGGGTTCAGTTTAACATTAAGAATCTAATGTGGGGCGCCTGGGTGGCTCAGTTAAGCGTCTGCATTCAGCTCAGGTCATGATCCCTGGCTCCTGGGATCAAGCCCCGCTTCGGGCTCCCTGCTTCTCCCTCTCCTTCTGCCTCCTCCTCCCTGCTCATGCTCTTTCATATAAATAAATGAAATCTTTAAAAAAGTAATCTAATGTAACTATATTAATGAACTAAAGGAAAGTAAAATCATATGATCATCTCAATAGATTCTTAAAAGAGCATTTGACAGAATTTGCCACTCATTTAAAAAAGCTAGAACACTTGGAATAGAAGGGAACTTCTTTTTTAAGTGGAACTTGTCAATAAGGATGTTTAGTGGCCAAGAACAGTCAAGACCATTTTGGAGCGCATTGCTTTATCAAATATTAAGCTGCTATAAAGCTGTATTAGATATTTTTATTTTATTTTTTTATTTATTTGACAGAGAGAACACAAGTAGGCAGAGCAGCAGGCAGAGGGAAAGGGAGAAGCAGGCTCTCTGCTGAGCAGGGAGCCCGATGCCGGGCTCGATCCCAGGACCCTGGGATCATGACCTGAGCCGAAGGCTGCCGCTTAACCGACTGAGCCACCCAGGCGCCCCTATTATAAAGCTGTATTAATTAAAACAGGTATTGGTATCAGGATAGTTGGATAACCAGTGTTAAATAGTTAAAAAATCAAAAAATAAGGAGTCCAGTAACATGCCCTCATATATTTGAATTTGGTAGATGACAGGTGGCATTACAAATCAGTGGGGCAAAGACCCGATTTTCAGTTGTTGTGGATAGTTAGCTAACCTTATAGAAAGCAAGAAAATAATAGATCTATACCTCATACCATATACAAAAAATTAATTGTCAAGGTCAAACTGTAAAGCTTAAAGAATACTAGAAGTATTTCTATGAAAATGGGGTAGAGAAGTATTCATACAAACAGCATAAAGGAAAGATAATTTGGACACATTAAAGTAAACACTTTAGTATGATAAAAGATAATATAAAGTAATAAGATAAACCACAGGTGGAAGAAAATATTTTCAATGAAATAACTGACAAAGATTAATATGCAAAATATATGAGGAACCACAAATCACTATGCAGACACTTCATTGGAAAAATGATGAGGGGATTTGAATAGACATTTCACAGAGGAGGAAAACTGAAAGGCCAATAAATATCTGGAATGGTGCTCACTGTCATTGGTAATGAGGGAAATGCAAGTTATTAAACCAATGATAAGAGGCCATCAGACTGGTGTAATTTATGATCAGTTATTTGATAATAATGGAGAACTGCATGCTACTGGTGGAGTATTAAGCTGGTATAACATTTTGGAGAGCAGTTTGGCCACACCTAGTAAGGTTGAAGAGATACATTTCTTGCCATGTGGCAATTCCATCCGTAGGTGTCTGCCCTATATATGAATGTGTGTATGACATTTATGACATATATTCATGTATATACACCTATACACGTAACAAAATTTTTAAAAAAAATGATGCTCACTCTAATACTATAGTACTGGAAAAAGTAATAACAGCTGTCCTTGATAGGAAAAGGGATAAATTACGGTTGAGACAATTATTGTTTGTCTCTCCAGAGAAAACCATTGTTAATAATTATACATTTCCTGCCAGACTTTACTAGCTTTTTTACAGTGCATAATTACTATGTATGGCTTTTTAATGATAAGAAATAGTAAAAGAAATGGTTTAACTTTCTTTTGATATATAGGATCAGATTAATGATTAATCACTTTGGTGATTAGGGAAAGTTCTTTTGCCTCAGGATATCAGTCTTATATCCTGTATCTAAAATTCAATACATATTCTCTTTAGGTCCCTTATTCTTACGGTTCTTGAAAAATGCAGGTACTTCTGAGAGAGAAATAGATAAACTTGTTCATGTAGGGTAGCGAGGTTTTATCAGATTTATGCATTCTTCAAGTTGGGATAGTTTTGGAGAGGGAGTTAGCATTTATGGAATTTACTTTGTACTAGGTCCCATATGTTAGGTTTTACAGTTTATTTACTGGACATTTATAGAGTGCCCCATCTGTATAAGCCATTGAACTAGATACTTAAAAAGGATGGACTTGAAGAGAACAAGAATGTTTAGAGGAGGAACATTGAAGGAAGAACAGTTATCTTTCACACTTAATAACTGTGCCTCAGTCTAATTTAGAAGATTACATTAAAATAAGTATTAGACAACTGTGATGAAGATATGTAAGGAGCGTTTGCTGATTATTCATACTAATAAAGATGATGCAAGACTGTCCAATTTCAACACCTCACTCTCCTTTCTGGTTTTCCAGAGGAAATGGGTAGTATTACTATGAAGATAGTTGTATGCAAAAGCTGAGCTGGTTTATCCCAGATTGATACTTTCCATGAGGCTTGTATTAGCTGTTTTGATTGGAAAGATCCTTAGTTCTTAGGCTAAGTAAAGATTCTGTTTATAAGATTATACTCATTCAGTAAACTCTTTTGTGCCTATATTATAAACTGACCCTGGGGAACCTTGGAGGTCCTTCTTGGTGACTTTATCAAGAGCAGTTTTGAGAGAGTGGTGGATCAGACGCAAAAAAAAGGCCCTAATAGCATGGGTTAAAGTGAGAAAGGAAAAACAATATATATTCTACTCTTTGGAGGGCTTTGCTGTAAAGGGGGGGGCAGGGAAATAGGTCAGTACCTGCTGGGGGACAAGAGCTCAGGTGTTTTTTTCTTCTTAAGATAGATGACATTAAGTCATGTTTGTGTATTATATTTGTGTATTATCACATTAGAGAGGGAGAAGTTGATGGTGCTGGATAGAGTAGAGAAAACTGATGAGTTAAGGTCATGAAGAGCTGAGAGAAGATGCGATCTGGAACACCAGGGGGAGATTGATCTTACGCGTGAATAGGGATACTTCTCCCATTCTGGTGGCTCTACTCATTGCTGTCTATTTGGACAGTTTTAATGGTTTGAACGTTAAGTTTTCTAGTGAATCACAATCTGCTTGCTTAGTTTTAATATTCAAGTATTTAAAGACCATGATTATTTCTATCTGAATTTTTAGGTTACACTTCTTAAATTAATCCCTTTGGTTCTTCCTCCCTTTCCAAAGGTTCTGGTCATACTACATTACTTAGTGACCTTGTAATATAGTATGCTTTTTTAATCCTTTTTGACCTTTTGTCACCTATGATTATTCTGCCTGGAAGACTCTATTTTCCTGTCACCATTATACTCATCTTTTAAGGCCCAGGTGAAACATTGAGTGCTTTGTGAAAAATTTTCTCACCCATGTAGGAGTCAGCTACCTTCTGTTGTGCCATCACATAAGCATGCGTTTCACTAATGTCACTGGATTTCAGTTCCTCATTTGTGTATCTGGCTCTACAGTGAACTCTCTGAGGTCAGAGATTATGTTTCTATGTGTTCAGCACTTAATATGGTACTTAGACGGTATTAGATACACAGGCAATGCTTAATAAAGGAAAACGATTCCTTAAAAAAAAAATCCCTAAAAGTTTTTGATTATATGTGATAATTCCTTTACCCTTCTGGTCATCTTTAAATATGCCGCTCAGAGCTGACCCTTATACTTTAAATAATGCCTGACTAGTGAAGAGTGTAATGGGGTGTACTATCTCTCCATCTGGATGCTAAATTCTTCACACTGCTAAAGATTGTTAGCTCTGCTCATACTGAATTTATCAGCAGCAAAACTGGCTTATTTGTTATTGGCATGAACTGCTGTCAAACCATCTTCCTCGTCACATGTATTTGCCACAAAATTTTTAAGCTTGAAGATAACTTATTTCCAGTTTTGGTTTGGTTTTTATTTTTCTGAATAGCAGTGCACTTATTTTCCCTTTACTTCTGTTTTGCCATTTCTCTTGTGTTTTGTCCGGTGTTTGGTTCTAGAAAACTATTATAATAAAAACCTCAAGGGGCGCCTGGGTGGCTCAGTCGTTAAGCGTCTGCCTTCGGCTCAGGTCATGATCTCAGGGTCCTGGGATCGAGCCCCGCATCGGGCTCCCTGCTCGGCGGGAAGCCTGCTTCTCCCTCTCCCACTCCCCCTGCTTGTGTTCCCTCTCTCACTGTGTCTCTCCCTCTGTCAAATAAATAAATAAAATCTTAAAAAAAAAAAAAAGAATAAAAAGTTTAAAAAAAAAAAAAAACCTCAAAAGATTGGACTCTGTTGAAGTTTACCTTTGCCTTAATTATAAAGAAAAGCTTTACTACAACTCCCTTCAGACAACAAATTCTTTGAAAGACTTTAGTATGAACTGGTGCTAATAGTATTAAAGATCTTTCTCATTATTAGTTCATTCAACAAAAATTTTTTAAG